TTACATTCATAAGTCATAAATGCGGTATTAGGACATTTAGGATGTTTCGCCCGCCAGGGGCTTTATCAGTTCAATAAGAATAAAAAGCCAATACAGTGACTGTAATACCAAGCAAATAACCCGCATTTTGGAAAGGAACCTTTTGACTAAGTTTCGGTCCATTCTGAAGTATTGTCAAGTTGTGACTTAACGAGGGTCCAGAAAGGGCCGAAACGTCATCATAAGGTCCCTTTCCTAAGTGCGGTTATTTGTGTACCCATTACATGGGATAATGCTGGAGACAGTGGAAAACATGAAAAAATAGTTTGAGGGGATCAATTCCTTAGCTCTGAAAAGGTGTTTTATTCATAAATTTTGGAATGAATAGTGCATTAGTCAGTCGTTCAGTCCATCAAGACTGGTACACTAAACACTTCCTTGTAAAGTTGAGGGACTAATCGTCTCTTAATTACTACTTCCCGTCTTCCACTATCTCCAACAGATTCATAAATGCCGATGGATTGATCACCTCAAACTACTTTCAAGTCCTCCATAATCTCCAGAATTACTCTCTGTATTGATATGACAAAGCTACTGTTTGACAAAACGTCTCCACAATGTACTCAAGGGTTGCACGTGTGTTTTATTCACCCCCCAGGTCGTCTTTGATTTTCTGAAGACCCTAAAATCTACTTTAGTGTTTTTCCTATATGGCACTACGTCTAGAAAAGATAGACGTCTATCTAGCTCATCCTCCATGGTGAATTTAAGGGTTCTAGAGTGCTGAATCTATCAAGGAGTACAGTTGTGTCGGGTAGCCTGGGTACAATAACTAGGTTATATTCCACATCTCGCAGCCATGATACTACACTGTGCGCGGTGTCTCTCTTCTCCAAGTGTTCCATGTACAGGCTAACCAGGACCGCACTCTACACACAAAGTCGCCAAACGAGAAGCAGTTGAAAGTGATGCACTGCTCGATACTGTTAACGAAATTCTATGCTGGGAAAGGAAGATCCAGGTCGTAAGCAGACTAGAATAAACAGAACTAAGCACAGCCGTCTGCAAGAGCAACAAACTTAATACAGAGGGACATGTACATGAGAGTACATAGAAAAGAGAATACATGAGAAAAACAGCAGAGTACTTTAAGTGTACTAAGTCCACACTGAAGCTATCTACTGAAAGCCTCTCAAGGGAGGTTCCTTGACGTTGGTGAGGAGCTCTTGATCTAGAGAATTGGATCTGTGCTCCGGTTCCCTGAATTGAGCCTGAATACTTTCTATCCCCCCTCCCCCCAAATGTACTTGGGGACTCAAAGTCAGGAATTATGGTGATAGGTCAGGTGCTTTGAATCTACCCCTGTGAGTACACTATTTTCCTGCCACTGATTCCTGGATAAAACATCACTGCTTTCATTGCAGAGGAAAGACACTAGCAAGCAATCTAGCATCATCATCATTTAGTCTTGAAGATCATCATTTATGCTAACTCGCTGAACGGTGAGGGGGGGGGGGAGACACGTCGAACTCGTGTCAAGCCAATCTAAAACTAGCATGTCGGTGCCCTATTCACTGTACCATTCAATTAAACTCTGTTTTTCAGTATACACCAGGAAGATTAGCATGGGCCCCACTGATCACAAATGATTGTTTTTTTACAGACGAATCTCTCGCCATAACTTGTGTTCTCACAAGTTCATGTATCATAACATCATTCTTTCCTGGGTAAAGCTGTTTCTGAATACAAAAGCACACTGCCCACAGTATTATAGACGTCAGGTGTACTTTTTGTACACTTGAGCTTCATGAGTCATGATTTGATAATGCCGTGTAGAACGTTATCATGAACTGGTAAAGCTCTAAATTGAGCGATACACTCACAATATGAGATTGCTCTTTACCTGGAGGGTGTTGCGGGGGGTCAACGCCCCCGCGGCCTGGTCCATTATCAGGCCTCGTAGTGAATCAGGGCCTGATCAACGAGACTGTTACTGTAGATGAATGGTTCAAAGAACCGACATGTTGTTAAATTAGACACATGTGCAACTCTTGGGTATCTTTATTGAAGCTACCCAAGAGTTGCACATGTGTCTAATTTAACGAGACTGTTACTGCTGGCTGAACATAAACCGACGTACGAACCACAGCCCGGGTAGTCAAGTACTGACTTTGGGTGCCTGTCCGACTCCCTCGTGAAGACAACCAGGGGCCTATTGGTAACCCTCTCTCTTTATGTATGCTAGGAGCGGTTGAACAGTCTTGGGCCCCTGACGCTTATTGTGCTGTCTCTTAGCTTACTTATGGCACCACTGCTTTTTAATGGGAGGATACTGAATTGTCTGCCGAATCTTTTGCTTTCATAGGGCGTGATTTTCGTGTGCAGAATTGGGACTAGTCCCTCTTAAGATTTTCCAAGCGTATATTATCATGTATCTTTCTCACCTTTTTTCTTCACGTCTCTCATGCATATCGTCTCCCATCCATTTTGTCTCTCATCTCTCACCCCCCCCCCCGCCCTCTCATCTGTCAGTGGCTCGTCTGTCTTTATATGTCTCAGTCTCTTGCCCGTCTCAATCTATTTTTGTCCCAATTTCTATTTTGACCATCTCCAATTAATCATCTATCTCTTTCATCTGGGTCTGTCAACTCGCTGTCTCCTCTTCTCTTCCCCTCCCTCTCCTCTTCCTCCATGTACGCTGGCATTTTGCTTTCATCTTAGCATAGAGTTCTATAAAATGCAGACTATTATCTTAATTTATAATTACAAAAAATATATAGGAAGGTATCACCTCTAGCGCTAACTAGGAACCCTCAGCCTCGGAGAAGAGAATGAATGTACTTTCAAAGGTCACAACAATGTTTCTACTGCATCTGCTAGGAAAATGATAGGATGGATAATGAGAACCTTCAAAACTAGGGATGCCAAGCCAATGATGATACTCTTCAAATAATTTCTCTCTAAACCATACCCCCGGCCGGGATTGAACCCGCGGTCATAGAGTCTCAAAACTCCAGCCCGTCGCGTTAGCCACTAAACCAGCTAGCCACAATAAGATTCATCCAACTAGGTATATTTCTACACCATAGGAAAGTTAGCACAGGCACCTCTGTGACCACAAATGCAAGTTTTTACAGACGAATCTCCAGCTAGCGTGGCCGTGACGAACTCTAGCTCAAGTCCCTTCACTGCCGTCAACATGACTCAAGAAATCGTAATGACACGATTGCAAATAAACCATATGGTATGGTTTATTTGCAATCGTGTCATTACGATTTCTTGAGTCATAATTTCTCTCTAGGCTGGAATACTGCTGTACACTAACGGCCCCTTTCAATTGCAGACCTGTAGAATATATAGAGAACTTTCACTGCACGTATAAATGCAATAAAGCACCTAAATTACTGCGAACGGTTAAGTTCCTTGACCTGTACTCCTTAGAACGCAGAGAAGAACGGTGCATGATAATATATACTTGGAAAATCTTACAGGGACTAATCCCAAATCTGTACACGGAAATCACTCCCTATGAAAACAAACAAAACTCGGCAGGCGGTGAAAAGCAGGGGCGCCACGAGTATGCTAAGAGACTACACAGTGTCAGGGGCCCAAGACTGTTCAACTGCCTCCCAGCATACATAAGGGGAAATACCAACAGACCACAGCCGGGCTGTGGTTCATACATCAGTTCGCATGCGGTCAACAGTAACAGCCTGGATAAACAGGCCTTTATCCACCACAAGACCTGGTCATGAACTGGGCCGCGGGGGCGTTGACCCCCGGAACACCCTCTAGGTATTCCCCAGGGACAAATCTGGAGATTTCTCCCCGAAGCTGTTCTTCCCCTACCACGTCCTATAAATAAATGTGTTTTTCAGATCTTCATTTTAATTATGTATGAACACACATTTACATATTGAATAGCTTTATAGTCAAGAAAAAGCGTTAAACTCCAAGGGTCATACCGATTTTTTCTAAATTATTATTAATAAACTGGAAGGCGAAATATTCTAAAACGCCTGTAAATAATTACAAAATGATATATTAAAAAAAAAGCGTTAAGCCTGTATGGGTCATACAGCGTCGGCGACAATTTTTTTTTTTCACTTTTTTTTCGCAACTAAGCATAAAGGAAATTATCGGCTAAAAAAAGGGGGCTGATACCCCCCCTCCTGGAGAAAATTTCTCCACAGGGCATTTCTTTTAGGTTTGTGGAATTAATAATAATCCCTCAAGGGAGGTGTTTTGAGGCTTGTGAAGGGTTCTTGATCCAAGGAATTGGATCTGTTCTCCCCTTGGATCGAACTTGATTGCCTCTCATTTGTCAAGTGCTTCATGTTTTAACACTTCCACATATAATAATATATTCCTGCAAAACGGTAACGTCTTTGGTTAATGGCAACATTTTAAGTTATTAATAACCGAGACTACGATAACACAGAAGTGTGCAAAAAAAAAAGTGGTACTGACTGATTATCCTGGGTTGTTCACTCTTGAGGGTTAATAACCCAGGATAACGCAAGAAAACTCAGCAGTGGCTTATTGCCACTGCTGTCCTTTTCATTTTTTTTTTTTAGGTTTCTCACAAGTTTACTAATTCCCAGATATGTAATGCTAGGTAACAGTGGCAGTAGGTGCTACCAGGCTTGCCCATTCGTGTCGCCCCTACCAGGGCTCGACCCGGGTACTTTTAGTAGTAAACTGAATGTTTTCTCACTGGTTGGTGGACAGAGGACCGACAATCATGGGTAATAAAAGAAATATATAGACTTAAGGTTGAATAAGTCTTTATGAGTTAATACAAGCGTGTTACCCAAGATACTACTGTAGGTAGTAGCTCTAGCTCTCTCTAGCTCTCTCTCTAGCTCTCTCTAGCTCTCTCTCTAGCTCTCTCTCTCTCTCTCTGCATTTCTAGATTTATTCATTTATGTGGCTGTTACTCTCAAATATTTTCATTTAATATTTTTCCTGGAAATATATTTTTCATGTGCGTGCTTGTAAGCATCTTTGTGAGGACTCACCGTCATTGAGTGAGATTATTAATAACTATTTCCATCTACTGTGCATCAGTCTTCGTGCATCAAGACAGTAGCACTGGAGCAGCGAGAGCAGAACAGCATCACTTGATCATCATCATCATCATCAGCAGCAGCAGCAGCAGCAGCTTGAGCAGTTCCTGGCTGGCCAGCAGCTGATGATGACGGAACTCCACAGGTTCACACCCTCCCGGACAATACAATTATTAACTCACTCCACTCCACTTTTAACCTCACGACTACCACCTCGCAATGTTTGTGACGCGACACACCATCATATCGGTGATGAAACTGGCGACGGACGTACAATTAAGTGTCAAGCACAACTTATCAAGTGAGATTTCCCCACTGAAGTTTGTGTCACACGCCCACCATCACCACCAGAAAAACACTGAGTAGCGTATGGCCACGTACGGGCGTCTCGACCACCACAAGTGACGCCTCACATGCGTCTCTCACTGTAAACACACTTATTACTCAAACTTTACCCTCTATGTTACTTTCAGATTTATAAAACACTATGTGGGTATGGCTTTAAGACAAATAAATTCGAGTGAGCGCGTATGAGAAGCTAGATATAGCGCAATAATACCTGTGGCAGCAGACGACGCCTCTCAGCTGATTCCTGCCTCACCATGACGGGAAATTTACCTGCTCGCGGAGCTTAAAATACAAAAGCATCTGTCCCTGGTCATAATTATAATCTCCAACAACAAATACCTCGTTAGAAGCTGACTACTGTAAGACAATACTAGGGTCAATGTACACACATATACACATATATATATATTAGGATTTGCAGAGTTGCCGAGCAGCTTAAACGTGATACTCAATGTGGATGACTGTGGTTGGCTGGCACAGTGCTGACGTACACTATATGCACCTACCATTGGTCCGCGCCCACTGAACTAAAATAGTACAGGCCTTTTCGAGTGCGCCAAGTTCAAATGATGTTCATTTTTGGACTAAGGGGGTTACCAACTCCCTCGCCATCCACAGCGGGTTTAGAAATACCCAGAGAGCGTCGTCGAGGCTTGTTCTTTCTGCCAAGTAGGTACACGCGGAAATGTCCTTGGCAGTAGATATAAACATACATGATCCCATAATATTTCTGCTATGGATTGAAGGTTACTTGCATTATGTCGTCAGCTCTGCGTAATGTGATACGTCAGCGGATCTGATGTCACTAAATGAACAAACTCATATCTTGAACCTTCCTAATTTTAACAAATGCTTATCAGATAAGAAGATACTTCTTACCAATGGTTCCAGGAACAAACGAACACATATATACCACTGTAATACAGAAAAATATTAACATTTATATTAACCCATTGTATAAGGAATTTAACCCCTGAGAGTTAATAACTCAGGAAATGCTTTGCATATAAGGGCGTCCGTAGAGCATGCAATTATTACATTATCAACCTTATCCATTTCTCTGTATTATTTATGTGTGCTCCGGAGAAACAAAAATCAAAGTTTGACCATAAAATAAAAATGAGACTTATATCTAGTATTTTACTTAAAGTCCTACCCCGGGATGCGACCCACTAGGCGACTAACTTCTAGGTATTTATATGCTGCTAGGTGAACCTAGGCAGCAGGTGCTAGGAGACCTGACAAACCTGTTGTGTGGGACCCACTAACTTTTATTCTAGACTGAACTGTCATCAAGAATAAAAAAATCACAATACCGTGGATGGAACACCTCAGCAAAATTCGCACTTAGGAAGAGAAACCACCTGGCGACGTTTTGGTTCATTCTGACCTTGACAATGGTTCAGGATGGACCGAAACATCGTTATAAGGTTCTCATCCAAAGTGTGGGTTTATTGGTGAACCCTCATCACATCTTGTGAATCATTGTTAATGTTCTCAGGTGGACCGTGAAGCTACTGGAAGACTTCGTTCAACAGTGGCCAAAAGTCCCACTCAGTTGGTCACTCAGCAGGTCACTCAGCTGGTCACTCAGCTGGTCACTCAGCTGGTCACTCAACTGGTCACTCATCTGGTCACTCAGCCGGCCACTCAGCTGGTCATTCAACTGGTCACTCAGCTGGTCACTCAACTGGTCACTCAACTGGTCACTCAACTGGTCGCTCAACTGGTCACTCAACTGGTCACTCAGCTGGTCATTCAACTGGTCGCTCAGCTGGTCACTCAACTGGTCACTCAACTGGTCACTCAGCTGGTAACTCAACTGGTCACTCAACTGGTGACTCAACTGGTGACTCAACTGGTCACTCAACTGGTTACTCAACTGGTCACTCAGCTGGTCACTCAACTGGTGACTCAACTGGTCACTCAATTGGTGACTCAACTGGTCACTCAACTGGTCACTCAGCTGGTCACTCAACTGGTGACTCAACTGGTGACTCAACTGGTGACTCAACTGGTGACTCAACTGGTGACTCAACTGGTGACTCAACTGGTGACTCAACTGGTCACTCAGCTGGTGACTCAACTGGTGACTCAACTGGTGACTCAACTGGTGACTCAACTGGTGACTCAACTGGTCACTCAACTGGTCACTCAACTGGTCACTCAGCTGGTCACTCAACTGGTCACTCAACTGGTCACTCAACTGGTGACTCAACTGGTGACTCAACTGGTCACTCAACTGGTCACTCAACTGGTCACTCAACTGGTCACTCAACTGGTCACTCAGCTGGTCACTCAACTGGTCACTATGCAACAGACGCGTCAGGAGATATATTCACTATTCTGACAATATTCGTATTTTCCAACAGCCCCAGGATTCAACCTGGGTCTTTATGGTTGTTAGCCAAACGCTCCATCAGTTATGACATTATGTGATAAGTAATACATCTTAATTCTAATGTAGAAAACAAAAGAATTTGTTATTGAACACGGGATGGCACTGTGTGAACATGTGTGGACCAAGCCTGTTCAACTACTGATGAGTTAAACACATGTGGAACACCTGGATATTTTTACTGTCGTCAGTAAAACTATCCATTGCTATTTGATGAGTGAGACATGTGTCTCCTTCATCAATTAGCAATGGTAGAGTTAAAATCTTCAAGAAATAACTGGACCACCGTCCACATCAAGTGCCAGATCAACCAGATGGTGATGACTAGGACAGTCGGGACGCTAACAGCAGCAGCCTGGTTAAAAACCAAAATAATAATAATAATATTTTTTATTTTTACAAGTACAGGAAGCCTGGCTCCAGTGAGGCTTCGAGGCTTGAAAACCCCAAAGGTCAGGGGCAAACCTCAAAGGGCTTTTCCACCTTTAAAAAAAAAAAGGGGTTAAAGTTAAAAACCTTTTTAACAACTTTCCTCATCGCAAAAATTGTTTAAAAAATGTTTTTTCACCTTTGTATTTTTAAATGAAAAAAATTATTTTTACATTTTAAAAAAAAGTTTTTTACTTTTCAAAAACCCCGTTAGTTTTTCTTAATTACTGAAAACCCCCCACCCCTTTAAAACTTTAGTTTATTAAAACCATTTTTTTCAAAAAGTTCCCCTGATTAAATTAGTTACAATTAATGTTTTTCCCTTGTTTGTTACAATTAAAATTTATTTTCTTTGTTTTTTTTTTGGGTTTTTAAATTAAAAGTTTTTACAATTAAATTTTGTTACTTTAAAAACCCATCCCAAAAAAAGTTTTTTCTTTTTTTTTTTACTTCCAAAAAACCGCAACTATAATTTGCCCCATGTTGAACTGGTTTTTTTGGGTGTTTTTTTTGGGTGGAAATCCTCGATTATCTGAATCCTTCAATTATCAATTGGATCCCTGTGTCAGTGATCCCATCTCTGGACATCCAACTTTGCCTTTAATTTTTAAGTGGTGTGTTTGTGATTTGTGGAAGTTTTGTACACCCAATTTTTCCACCAAAATGGGGTTCAGGCCCCGATTACAAGCTCCTGCCCCCCTCTTTAAAAACTTTGTCTGGTTCTCATCTCTCTTCTGCTTTTCAATCTCGTCTTAAAACTTTATTTCCCATTAAAAGTTGTAGGAATGTATGTGTTTTAAAGGTGGTTTGGTGTTGTAGTTTTGGTAGGTTAGTATTGCCATTACTACTTGGCAATACCTATTTCTATCTACATTAAAAGTTTTTATGTCGTGTTGTCCCAATTTGTAAAATTTTCAATAATTTTTTTTTAAATTTACATTTTCAGACATACTAATATTTTTTCAAAAGTTTCCATTTGTTCAATAGATCTGTTTTTCAAAATTAAATTTCTACTACCCTTTCCACAAACATTTCCTTAATTTGAAACAGTGTCTCATTTGTCCTGTTTTTGTTACTAACATTCTTCATTATCTCATTAAAATTTTTATTATTTTCCATGTTCTCTTCTTTTCCTTTTTTTCAACTTTGGTATACGTTTTTCTCCTATTGTTGGTTTATTTATAACATTTGACCCTTTCTGACTTATTTACATACTTTAAAAGGGGCCCCAAGCTGCTCAATTCCAGTTTTAGCTCACATAGTTGTAAATGTTAACTCTTTCCACTATCTATCGGAAGGTATTTATAGTTTGCAGGGGGAATTATATGATATCTCACATAATTTTTTAGAACTTCAATTATTTTTTGTTAATAATAACAATAGACCATTTCTTCCAAGTAATCTCACTATTGTCACATAGTGACATTAGGCAATTTGATTTTGTTCAATTCATACGTGGCCATTTTCCCCATTAAATTCTATCTTGTAACTTCACTTAAACATTCTAAGGCTACCTAATATCCCACAGATTTATTCCTTTTTAATTTGTATTTTCCTAGAATTATGCATCGTCCAAAAATTTTTTATTTAGTTTCCTATTTCTTCGTTCCTTTTTTTCAATCAGTAAAAATATTGAAAGTACAGCCCCTTTGACCCAACTGCAACCTTCTTCCTAAATTTCCTCTGTGGCCCCTTCCCCCAGACATGGTTTCCCCCAGGTTGGTTTTCCCCCAAAACATATGGCACCTTGTAACCATTTTCCATTTCGAAATATTCAGCCCTTCCTGGGGGAAATTATAGAAACATTTCTATGCAATGGTATTTTTCCCTGAACATCATTGGACACCCCACTGTGATTTCCCACAGAACTTCATGACCCCATGGTGGAACCTTCGCCTTTGAATTTTGGCACCCAATTGGGGAATTCCCACTAAAAATAATTCACCCCTCTGAACCTTCCTTTTAAACATCAGGCACCCCCTGCAACTTTACTAAACACATGAACCCCACGTTAACACCCCAAAAAATATACCCCACTTCGGGAACCTCCCATTAAGAACCATCATGCCCCACGCTGGAACCTTTCCACTAAACATATG